TAAAGTATAATAATCCTTCAATTCATGAATCAGCATGTACTCACCAGAGAAGTATTCGTCAATTTCTGCTTTTACGCCATTTCTTTTTATACGGTGAATAAAATTATTTGTTACGCTAGAGCAAAGCTAAATTTGTTCACTAAAAGCACCAAAACATTTACTTCAAAATTTCTTATATCACATTTTTATGTGAAAATTTTTTTTTTCAATTCCAGTAAAAAAATTAAATCACTCAAACAATCCACTTACTTAATATTAGTTTTCTAAATTCATATTTAAATGCTTCGCTATTAACAGAAGAATCATTCATTTATTGCTATTAAAGGGATCCAAGATGCAGGCATTTTGAAAATTTGTAATTTGCTTAGTAACTTAAATAAAATAGTGTTTTTAATTTTCGTTTAAATGATGAAAAAATTCTTTCAATTACAAAAGTGAAGTAAATTTCGTCTTTTTCCGTAGGTTATGCTAAGACTTGGTAGGTTTTTTTCCTTTCTTTTCAACTTAAAAATAAGAATTTTAAGAAAAGTAAGAGGGATAACAAAATAAATAAATTAGTTAATTACGTATATTTTTGATTTTTTTTACAAAAAGTTTAAAATTGTATTAAATTTCAATTAAAAAATTTTTGAAAAAATGTGAAGAAAAAAAGACATTTAATTTAAAAATTCGAAATTTTATAAATTACAAAAAAATGCTGCTGTAATTATATTAATGTGAGTGTAGATTGTGAAGATTTTTTTTTAAAATTATTAATTCTATTTAATGATAAAATAGACATATTTAAATGAATTTTAAACAGTTTCTGCAAAGAAATTAATCAGATCTTGAAAGTGATTTCCCGTACTTTTAATGCAATAAAAAATTCCATTTTAATTTATGAATTTCTCTATATATAATAATCATTATTATAATATAGTAAACAGAATTTATTACAACTGACAACTTAGGCTGTATTATGCATATAGTCTTTCTGAAATTTAAATTATTACGTGATTTGTTTAAACTATGAATGAAATATAAGGTAAATCTCAAATTTTAATTAATTCGATAAATTTCAAAATTAATATTTTTTAAAATGCAGAATGGATGTTTATTTAATCTATTTAAATTTATTTTAGAAGTAAAAAGTTCTATCCATAAATTATTGAACCCTCTTTTTATTTTTTACTAGAGCTAGTAGAAATTGATTGGAAAGTATAAATAAAATGATTCTATTTTTTGTTTTAATGCAGTGTAGTTTACATTATCGATTTGAGAAAATGCATTTCAGATTTATAAATTTATTATAAATATCTATAATAGTGAACCGGTATGTTTTTTTTTTCTTCTTATGTTTCCAGGTTTTCTTACAGTACGTAAATAGGCAACTTATCAATACCCTGTGACTTATAATCTAAATCATAACGTAATTATAAATGACTATAATAATATTTTTTAAATTTCTTTCGCTCAAGTTTATCTTGCTATTAAACAACTTTAAAAGAATTTTGTGATAACCCCTATACACTGTAAATAAAGCTATTAACTATGCTCTTCTGCAGAATGTTCTTTACTGAACTTGAAAATAAGAAATTAGTAAGCAGTAAAAATTTTAAATTAAATAATTTAATTGATAACATTATGATAAAAAAGTTTAGCTTTGTAGAATTGTTTGAAAATTAAAATAGCTAAAATAAAAATTCACAACAAATTTCTTAAACACTTATAAAAATTAAATGCATGTCAAATGCATACTTAATTAAACCGTGAACTGCATGCATTCTTTTAGTAATTAAATGTATTTATCAACAATATTGTAAAAGATGGTTTTACTTTAATTTACTTTTTATTTATAAATAATCAACGAGTTTTAAAATTTTATTAAACACAAAAAAATAGTCCGAAAATTTTAGTTCTAGGATAAATATTTAACAGCATTTCCCTTTATAAACTTTAAGGTGATCTTTTTAATTAATAGTATGATTATAAAAATATCCCTGAGATTAATAAAAATATAACTGAGATTATTGTAAGCTTTATATAATGCACGTTTATTTTTTAGTTATCCTTATAATGAAAATTAAATCATTCAAACAGATGATATACAAGAAGGGTATAATTTTTCGTCATTTCTAACTAGACTGTTTTAATGAACATTATATATTACGCTATATTATATTAAGAAACAAAAAACATACATTAAATATTTAACGTATGTTTAGATTTATTGATTTAATATTTTTTTAATTTTCGAAACTATATTTTTTATAAATAATACATACCCCGAGGAATTAATTTTGCTTCATAACAAAGATGATAACGTACATTTTTTTAAGAACACTATCTAAGATAAAGTTGATAATATCTCCATTTTTAACATATGCGATAAAAACAGTGATTTTAGTTTAAATACAAATAAACTAATCGCACTAAATTCTAAAGTTTCAAGAAAAATTAATATAAATACTATTTTTGATCTAATTAATAGAATTAAAAGAATTTTTGTAATCTAAAGGAAACAATTCCATCAACTATTCCACCATTTGATTAAAAGTAACAATTATCCGAAAAATAAAATTGAATTATTTGCAAAATCATTGTTTTAAAATGAATTAATAAGCATGAGTTATAATTTTAAAAAAAAATTGGTCATCTAGTAGACTATAATACTTTCCATGTGCAAACTCAACTAAAACTAAAAATAAGGTCTTTGTTTTCGTGTGCACACTTTTACATTTTTCAACAATTAGATAAATTAACAGCAATTTTAAATTCGATAAAAATCATTAAAATAAAGAGTTATATTTTTAAATGCGACCTTTTGTGATTAAAAGAGTTATCCAGTTTAGTACAGTTGTTTGCATAAGCCTATTCAACTCCATCAAATCTAAGCCATCCATCCAATCAAATCGCTTAACTTCGATTAGTTAATTAAAAAGTTCACTAAGTAATTATTCATCAATTTAAAATTTAGTACAGTTAATTAAAAATTTGTCCTTCGACCTTATTCCATCTTTAATGTTATTTTTAATAAACTGACACTTTGTTTTGGAAATATATTTTTGTTATCGTAACTGGCTACCTTTTTCTCTCTCATCAATTTTTATATACTTTTATTTCGTTTGTTTTGTTATTGCTTAGAACATGATAATAAATAAGATTTGTTTCCTTTTTTGTGCTCTTCACACTATTTCAGTGTCATATATCGCTCTGGCAATTTAATATGAGAAAGCACCTTCTATAGGTCGAATTAGAGATTGTATCTCTTAATGGAACGTCTGACTTGAAATAAAAGAAAGGATTTCTCAAAAAAAAATTCTACAAAGAATCCTCTGTATGAGAGTGATTCCAAAATAATAAAGTGGTAACATTTTTACAAGTTTATAGTACTAAGCACTTAATCAAAGGATTTCAAACATCCAACAAAAAGAAAATTAAATTTAAAAACACGGTTTTTGAAATAAATAGTTTTCTTCATTTGCTTATTTTTGGTCACATTACGAATTTATTCAATAACAGAAAAGTAGAAAAGAATGGTTTTGTTTTTTGTAAAATAATATTTTAAGAATTCCCCTTTCATGAAAAGTACTATTAAAAGGAGGTAGAGACAGGATAAATCTCCTGTATTTAGAACTCTCCCTTTCATGAATAGTACTCTTAAAAGGAGGTAGACACAGAATAAATCTCCTGTAATTAGAACTATCCCTTTCATGAAAAGTACTCTTTAAAGGAGATAGAAACAGAATAATTCTCCTGTAATTAGAACTCCTCCTTTCATGAATAGTACTCTTAAAAGGAAGTCGAGACAGAATAAATCTCCTGCAATTAGAACTCCCCCTTTCATGAATAGTAATCTTAAATGGAAATCGAGACAGAATGAATCTGCTGTAATTAGAACTCCCCCATTCATGAATAGTACTCTTGAAAGGAAGTCGAGACAGAATGAATCTCCTGTAATTAGAACTCCCCCTTTCATGAATAGTACTCTTAAAAGGAAGTCGAGACAGAATGAATATCCTGTAATTAGAACTCCCCCTTTCATGAATAGTACTCTTAAAAGGAAGTTGAGACAGAATAAATCTCCTGTAATTTTAATAAAGTGTTAATATGAATTAAATTATGTTTTTGTCTCACTCCAGGTGTTATTGCATTATTATTTATATTCCTCAACTTGGATTCTTAAAATGGCTGCTGAAAGTTTGCCCCAAAATATACTCTTTCAAAAGGCTTTTTATGCGCAAAGCTATAAAAACATTAATATAATTGGAAGTACAGCCGCAAAATATACGGGTTTCTTGGCAAATACGTTTTAACAGTGGAATGTCTATCACACTGATCAGTAAGTTTAATAAAATTCATTTTGCCAAAGCAAATTTTGAACCATTGCAAAATAGGTTCTGCTCTCGTGAGATTTTGCTTTTGATTTTTTTAGTTTTGATAAACAGCGTGACCACTATTGTTGAGGAATCATTTTTTTCAAACTAAGAAATTAGATAGAGCGATCACTGAATCGAGGTACTCTACATTGATGTTCTTATAAAGTTAAGTGTCAGTGCCCTACACTGATGCTTTTTTTTAAGGTTAACCAAACATTTCGAATCGGTTGAATAACATAACCACTATTAAACCTAACTCAAGCTAGGATACTTTCCTGTAAAGTTACGCTGTATTCTGTAAACATGGTGACCACTATTGTTGTAGAATCACCTTTTTGTTTCTAAGAAATTAGAAAGGGCGATCTCTGAATCGAGCTACCCAACATTGATGCTTTTATAAAGTCAAGTCTCCTACACTGATGCTTTATTTAAGGTTAGCAAAGCATTTCGAAACGGCTGAATAACATAACCACTACTAAACCAAACTCATGCTAGGATACATTACTGCAAAGTTACGCTGCCTTCTAAAGTTGGCAGGATAGAGAGAAATATTTAAAAAAATGATCTGTAAAATAGCTACTGCTTAAAAACAAAGCTGCATATTAATTGTACTGTACAAAACAATGTATGAAGAGAACATACCTCCTTTGACATGGACTTCTCGACTGATGATAGACCCAATAAGATTGGAAGCCAAACACTGATAAACTGAGTCGTGGACATCTTGTCGAAAATCACTCCTCGAGAATGGTGGGAACACAAGGGTTCCATCAGATCGGGTAAAACGAAGACCGGAGATGTCACGTGCAATTCCTCCGTCTCTCGTCTGCCACGTCAGACGGGGTGTGGGTGTTCCATCCGCACTGCACCGAAGCTCAGTCCCGCTGCTGTTTGAAAATTCAACCCTCGAAGAGGGTTCCGTTCGAAAAACTGGACCTCTCTGGTCCTTTCTGTGGGTTGTTTCACATAATCCTAAATAAAATAAAAGAACTTTTAAATAGGTTTTAACAATTATAATTAAACTGAAATCTAAAAGCAAATTGAAATAAAACTTAATAAACTTGAATACCAAACAGAACTTCGTCAGGGCTTTTCAGTGAATTATATAAAGACGAATTTTGAACTTTAGCTCTTTACCAAATTTAACACTGATTTTTTTGCAGGTTTTAATTAATTTTTTACAGTGTTTTAATTAAAAAATATGATTCGCTTAAAAAAAATCAAGTATCTTTTAAGTAAATGAACTATAAATAAACGAACATAAGTATAGTAAAAGAAAATTTATATAGATAAAATTTAATAATAGTTCATAACGACTGAAGGGTTGTGATCGATATATGCCTAAGACGCAACACTACAAATGAATACGAATACAGCACTAGCCCTTCAATTCTATGCACCGACAGTCAGTATAGGACTAGATAGTTCCAAATATTTTTAAGGAAGGGAATGCATGACTACAGCTTCCGAAGGCAGTCACAGAACACAATATTTAAATTTCGATTTCAGACTTCGAAAATCAAAATTAAAATATAAATCGAACAATAACAAAATGAATTTTAAAATCATTCGTAACTTCGAAATTTCAACATTTCGAATATTATTTTATGTTGTAATATTATATTCATTCATATTATTTTTTTCTATGAAAATAATGCAATTTGTATTAGAAACAAATCAGTGCAGAAGAGAGTCATAAAATGATATCGCCTATCTCCACTTGCAAAAGAAATGGAACAATCCATTCTTATCAGACGAAAACTTTGAATCGAAGAACCTATAGAGTGTGGCTTTTGTAGTTTTTGCGACTCTTTTTGACTATTGATGGCTTCTGTGACTCTTGTGGCTTTTGCGTATAGAAAGGATCAGAGTTCGACGAGGAAAGGCAGCTTTCAAAGATTTGTGATTCACAGGATTGCGTAGTGCATATTGCAGTTGGAAGAAAAAAGCAACATTCAGAACCAACGCAGCGGAGAATGAGGTTTCATCCTTCGTCCGAACATACTTTTCATTACATTCGACTTTGACAGAATTTTTTGCCATCGTTTTTTTTACTTTTTTCCGATATTTATTTCGTCTACTATATCTTTCTTTCCTTTAAGAAAGTTGTTTTTATATAAGATCTAACATCAGAGTTATCAGTGATTATAATTATTAATGTCATAATACAAATTTTGTCTTTTCGTTTTGTCCTTATTTTCCAACCCAAACAGTAGAGTAGTTTATAATATTGGATTAATTTCTTTGTCTATAATAATAATATTTAGTTAAACTTTTATTTTTACCAATAAGTGTAGATTTTGCATATTTATTCATTTAGTCTTAATCGTAATTTTACTTGTATACTATTGATTCAACCTCGACACTTGCTTTCGTAGAATTTGTTCTTCCATAACTCGAAATATAAAAGAAAGGAATACCCATCTGAGCTGCGTGCAAAGATTCAAACTCTATCCGAAGAAGACTTACCTCAGAAAAAGAAAATTGAAAAAATTGAAACTCCAAATAAAGTATAACCTGTTTGTTGCCTCGTTAAAGAACAATCGAAACAAACTCTACAAAACTCATTATAATAAATAAAACCGAACAGGAACAAGAGAATGTCTTCCGTAGGTTGACAAAAACATTCACTTCACACATGCATATAGATATGCAATATGTTTGTTTACATATATACAAATATATACAAATTTAGTTTACATATATTCAAATATATACAAATTTTGCTTACATATATACAAATATATTCAGATTTTGTTGTACATATATACAAATATATACAAATTTTGTTTACATGTATACAAATTGTAACATATATACAAATTGTGCATATACGTAATAATTTTAAATTTTGATATTCTATTTATTAATTAATTTTCCCCGGTGATCTAGTCTATTAAAACTTTTCAAAGTGAATTAATTTCTTGAAGCTTATGCGCTTGCTGTATGTTGCTTCTCTTACTAGTGATTTTTTTTATCAAAGTATTCTGAGCATTTCCAGTCATTTGTTTGTTACGCATTTAAACTATCAGACATTTTTTTTCATCCGTATTCTTTCACCTAATCCCAATTTCTAAACTTTCTGAACATTTAGTACCACCTACATGGAAAAATGAAATTTATCTTAATTGTAAAAAAAAAGAAAATATATTTCTGTTTATATGTAAAAAAATAAATTTTGATATTAGATCCTCAATATGAAGCAACGAAAAAAGATTTGTAGAAAAGAAAGCACGATTTTTGGACGTTACGAGAACATAATTTTGACTAATTTTTTAAACATTTAAAAAAATAAACTCCGAATAAATAGTGGTAAGTTCAAAGTTTTCCATATCTTGTCAAGTTTTTCCTCATCTTCAATATTAAATAGCAAAAAATAGCGTATTTAAATAGCGTATTGCGAAAAAATTGTAAGAAAAAGTCTTATTTCCTATTATTGATTTCGAGAAGACAATTTATATTGTATTATAGAGACCTTACACGTTAGGAAAAAAATTTGTTTTCTTTTATTTCCAGGTGAAAAAATACTTTGATTTCCATTGTCGTAGAAAACACAAAAATACGAAAGTAGTACATAAATTTTTTCCTTATTTTAGATCTGTTGCTTCAAAAAAACAATTTAATTACTTTAAATTATGACTTTCTTAAATTCTTTACATATTTCTAAATACCAATATCTATAGAAAGATTTTATTCCCATAACTATTAATAGTTTATTAATTTTCCATGCATCCATCTCCTTTGTAATTTTGAGACTTAAATAGTTAAATAAAAAAAAATAAAGCTCCTTCACTTTTAACTTACAAAAAAATTTCCTTCCTGTTTAAATTATCAAGTCTCCTTCATTTTTATTTCATGACATGATCAATATTATTGTTTGCTTTACAATATACGTTTTTTGCTTCATACGTATTTTAGAAAAGNGCCAAGTTTATTTAAATAGCAAAGAAATAGCGTATTTAAATAGCGTATTGCAAAAAAATTGTAAAAAAAATCTTTGACCGCCAGTTCAAGCACAAGTTTCATTGCCTATTATTGATTTCGAGAAGATAATTTATATTGTATTATAGAGACCTTAAATGTTAAGAAAAAAACTTGCTTTGTTTTATTTCCAGGTAAAAAAATACTTTGATTTCCATTGTCGTTGAAAACACAAAAATACGAAAGTAAATGTAGTACATACATTTTTTCCTTATTTTAGACCTGTTGCTTCAAAAAAACAATTTAATTACTTTAAATTATGACTTTCTTAAATTCTTTACATATTTCTAAATACCAATATCTATAGAAAGATTTTATTCCCATAACTATTAATAGTTTATTAATTTTCCATGCATCCATCTCCTTTGTAATTTTGAGACTTAAATAGTTAAATAAAAAAAATGAAGCTCCTTAACTTTTAACTTAAAAAAGAAACTTCCTTCCTGTTTAAATTATCAAAGCTCCTTCATTTTTATTTCATGACATGATCAATATTATTGTTTGCTTTACAATATACGTTTTCTGCTTCATACGTATTTTAGAAAAGATTCCGTTTTTTCTTAAAAATAGAAAAAAAGTGAATAGAAAAATATGTAATAGAATATTGATGATATTTGATGTTGTTGAAATATTATTTTTATGATTTTTTTTTTCTCCTCCGTAGCATTATCTTGGTAAATATTCGATATTATTTTGCAGACCAAAGAATGAGGCAAATACAGTTTCTATACTGAAGGAGAGAAAAACAACATTTTGTGCTATGTAATAATGCGATGGCTCTCAAGCTCTTATAAAACGATATCTATTATTAAAATCCGATATGTTTCCTCCATTTTCTATACATAAATGAGAATAGAAAACAGATGTATAGAATTATATTTCGACTGAAAGTAAGTATAGGGCAATAGTAGGAAATTTTGTTACAGGCCAGTGGCCAGTAGTGACATTTTTAATAATGGTCACTTTTTCAAAAATTAAAAATTTTAAACTATTCCAGAAAAAACCTCTCTGGGTAAAGAGTTTTTTTTGAGCATTTGTTTTAACATTAGTAGCATTAGAGGATTTTTATCATTAGTAACATTAGAGGAGGTGAATATTAGTAACATTAGAGGAGGTGAACATTAGTAACATTAGAGGAGGTGAACATTAGTAACATTAGAGGAGGTGAACATTAGAGGATTAATTTCGAAAATGAAAAAAAAATTCCTTAACTCGTCAAGTAGGTTTATATAAAATTTAAGTATTATATATAACGTTTTCAACTAATAAAATACAGGTTTAGTGTTTGTGAACCAACAGTGCAACATATAAATAATGTTTATTATCATTCCAAAAAACTTAATTCCTTAAATAAATATATGATAATTATTATGATATATAGTTTATATAAATATAAATTATGTATAAATATATAATATATATAATATATGCATAAATATAAGTATAAATATATTTATATAAATATCTATTATAATTATTATAATAATTATTAAATAAATATATGATAATTATATATGATATTGTATTAATTATAATACTTTTTATTATTATAGATCATAAATTTTAATTCGGATAGCTTTTTTTTATTTTCCTTAAGGGGCTGGGCTTAAGTAGTTTTATTTTAATCCAGGAGGTATTAGTGTACAATATTTCTCAACTTTCTATTACTATCTAAATCAATTATCGAAAATTTAGCTTAAAATTCTTTAATATAAGCTCGGATATTTTCTTTAAGTACAAACACTCTTTCTGAAACAATGCAGGGAATCTTTATAATTTAATTTTCTTTTGAGACAAAATTTGAAAAAAAAATGATACTATGACGTTTTACTCTGCTCGATAAACGACATAAATATCATGCCAATGATTCAACATGATTTTTAATAGGCAGTGAAATATGCTCTTTTTAAAACCCTACATGATCAAAAAATTGAAAAGTTAAAAGTATTTTTAAACTAAAAAACGTATATGTTTGGATATATGCAT